TTTTTTTTTTTAACATACTAAGGGTGCAAAATAAAAAATTGATGAAATTTTAGGCAAGATTTTACTGGTCCCTGAAATCTAAAAATCTTGGTCCAGTGAGAAGAGAGGGTAGTTTAAGTTATTCTTTTGTCTCAAAGGGGTTCCAGCCCATAGTTCCCACCCCCTCCAGCCCTTCTCTTTCTACTCCCCAAACAATAGAGGCAGTCCCTTGCATTCAAAAAGCCCTCTCCAGAAAGAGGAGCTGGGAATCTTTTAATTATTCATTGAGCTAGCAGCTGGGTCCTGGCTGCAGTGGCCTTCAGAACTGCCTTCTCTATCCCCTTCAGGGCCTGGCCTAAGACTGAGATCTCCCGGGAATCAGGGCTTGCTGGTGCTTCCTAGGGCCAAGATTACCATGCCATCCATCATAAGCCCTCATTGCCGCATGGGGTCAGGTTTGGCCCATGCTTATTAGCTGTTCCTTGGTGACCTAGTTCTTCACAAAGCCAGGCTCTGGCAGTACTCTGTCACATTTCAGCACTGCAGCTTTATGTCACATCTCTGCCTCAACCACGTGTAAAGGGAAATCTCTCCTCTTATAGGTAATTTTTTCTATCCTCCCATGCCTTAAGCATAGGTAAAGGAGAGGTGAGAAAGAATAGCATAGCATTCAAGACCATTGTCACATTGTTCACTGCCAGGGCGCACTATTTACATGGACTGCAATGTGATTTGGCTTCCTGGAGCTGGGGGCTCAAGACTGCCTACTCTCATCCCTGTCCCCCCTGCACACCCACCTCTCAGCAGTGTCTTTGCACATCATGGTGGGCCTTATGTGCCTTGCTCTCCCAGTCACTTCTCATGTGGGCATCACTTTGCTAGTTCTTACTAAGTGCGAAGATTTCCTGGAGGTTTTTCTTTACAGAAACAGGCAAGATCCACTTCCTGGCAGGACCCTCTTATGAGGGCTGCCTGACTTGAATCTCCTCTGCATGGTGTTTCCTCCAGCCCTAGAGCCGTCCTATTTCCAAGGACCATACCTGGAAGGAACACCCTATAGTCCAAATGCCCTCGCAGATCTTTGGTTTGGACGGATAGTCTCGCTCACATTCCTCATTGAATAATATTTTGTGTGCCAGTGCTGCTCACACCTGTGACTCCAATTCCACTCTTTGGTTCCTGTGGGAAAGGTGTAGGGAGATGGGCCCTATAGAGCCATATACATGATGACCCAGCATTTCCACAAAAGTTGAGTTGCAAGATCATTTACTGTAGTGCTGTTGTTTAGGAGAGTGAAACAATTGAAAATAGCCCAAACATTTAACACTGAGATGTTAGTTAAATAAATCAATACATTAGTACAAGGAAATACTATTCACTTAGTAAAGACTGTTAAAAACTTAGGTTGGCTCGGCGCCTGTGGCTCAAGCGGCTAAGGCGCCAGCCACATACACCTAAGGTGGCGGGTTCGAATCCCCAGCCCGGGCCCGCCAAACAA